AACTTCGAAATATTCTCCAAAAAGTGCTACAGTTTCAGGCAGGAAGAGGTTTTCCCGTCTATCCTTTTGTCCATCCATTCATCTCTCTGTACAGAAGAATGACTCAGTAATTAAACCACTGCTGGTCAAAGGCTCCTGGTTGTGTCAGTGCCTCACAGCGTGGCTCCACGCAGCCCTCCAGCCAGCCAAAGGGGAGTATTTCCCTCAGAGCTGTTTCACCAGGCATAGTTGATTTCAAAGAACTTAAGTCCAAGTGCAGAATGCTTTCAGCTACTTGCTAAGGAGGTATTGCAGTTTTTGCCACCTGAACAGAAAAAGTTCTCCCAACCCCGGTGCATTAGAGTTGTCAGCAGGAAGAGCAAATCAGGTTAACTTTTCCAGGGGATGTTATCTGCACCTGGCAGCAGTGATGGGTGACTCTAGAGCTACCATGGCAAATGGTCCTGCTGCAGTACAGGGCAAGGGATGGAAGGGGAGGAAACAAGCACATAGGCTCTAAAGCTCCGGGTTTGAAAGCTCCGGGTTTGTTTGTGGAGGCTCCAGAAGGGTGTCTTATGTGTCTACCACTTGCTCCCAGAGAGACCCTTTGACTATTTAATGCAGCAGAATTGATGCATTTTCAACTATAACAGTATTTCCTCACAACCTCCTGCAGATCAGTAAATTCAAGCCCAAGTAAGGCCAAACTTTGGCAAAGTTCATACCTAGAGCTGAACTTTGGACCGAAGCAATATCGTGAGATCCAACTATAATGTATTTCCCACCCTGACTGACCGGGCTGATCCTCACCATGATTAGGACAAGATACAGAACATGTAGAAATGTATTAAATCAGCAAGTGCCTCAGTGGCAGCACAGACACTCACGTAGTCATAAGTCATTTCATCCAGAAGAACTTTCCATGCTATGTAGAAAAGTAAACAAGTGTACAATTATTCTCTCAAAGAAAAGAGGTCGGATAAATGAGACCAGATTTAGATAAGGAGACCTTGATATAAAAAGAAGGTACAGTGCAATCTCCCAGTATCCAGTTTAGAGAAAAGCTCCAGCACTTCCCCCTTCCTTCCAGGCAACTAGTTTATTCATTTTCATTTGGAAGTGTCCTACTCATAAAGTGCATGGATCAAAAAGCAACAAATCAAACATCACACAAGAAATGATGCTTTGGAGAGGACCTTTACCAGGTCATGCAAATTCATCTCTTCCTCCTGTTTGAACTGTGGAAGACAAATCCTTGTGGCACTGGAAGAACTGTCAGGTGGTTCGAAAGTTGAAGCATAAAACCCCAGTAGTTTCATTTAAAACTTCCATTAAATAGTTAATCAGTTATGTAATTTCAGCAAATGTTTTGGGTATTCCAGCCACTTCTCAGTCACTTTATCCTACAAACTGAGCACATCCTAACACTTATGAACGCTCAACATTCCTAAGGCAGTGTAAGAGCTCTGTCGCCTGGCCAACTCAATCACTGGTGTAAATCCATCAACTCCATTCAGAAGAAATATTCCATGGAATAAACCCAGTCATACTATGGCAGCGACCCCGAGGGGTCAGGCAGGATGTCCCATTGTGCTCCTTCTTGCACAAACACAATGGGGTTCAGCCCCTTGGGGCAGAGCCTCTGTCAGACGTTTGTGCCTCCGGACAACGTGTTCTGGAGGATGTTTGTTTTCAGGTCGCAGCACTGTAAGTGTATACAAAGGTTTACAAAACAGGGCGTGCTTCCAATGCCAGAGGCACGGCTATTGGGCACACCTTTCTCTAAGGACTAACCAAATGTATGTTTCCTTGCTTCAAAAAGAGAGCAATTCACGCACTTTCAAGTTAATTTCGGAATTACTTCCCCTGGAAGTACATTGTTTCTCTTCCTTCTCTGATACTCTCACATGCATGTATCAGGAATACTGAAAGATGCAGGTAACTTCTAGTTCTTCTTTGATGCTAAAATCAAAAGTTATTCACTAAGATTAGGGTTTCACCCCATATACTTAAACCTAAGAAGTAAGACCATGTGTGGTGTGCAGGAAACGTGTCCTAAATTTGTATTTATCGACAATTAAATAAGAATCTCACCTCAAGACACCTTCACCAGGAGGAGTGTGAATGGCAGCTGCAAGCATCATACTGGGAAAACCAACAGCATCTCTTTATCACAAATAGAAACCAAGCTGTAAATATCACTCTGGAGATTACAAGTTTTTTTAATAGATCCTTCCAGTAAGTACGGAGCTTGTTAACACAGGCTCCATACGGCTGGGTAACTAATGCCAAGGGGAGAAGCCATGCCTTGGCTCCTCCCATCGGCCAGAGGAAGGTGAAGCAGCCACAGCAAGGAAGTACAAATGATGAAGATCTGCCCTTAAAGCAACTTGCCCACCAAATGAAGGCTCATCAGAATGAGACCTGTGCAACCCATTTGCTGTGTCAGGCTGGTAAATCCAGCTGTGTGACAGCAGAACAAAATTTTATTCCAGGTTTCTGAAGCACCAACATGACTGACACAAATGCTGCAACTGGAAGAAAGCCAACAATTAATCAGGATTCCTTAGAATTTGGAGGTAATTTTAGCAGAACAAGAAATGCAGAAGTATCAGTGAGTCCTGAACATTCCTCCAGGACAAAAATCTATTACTTCATATAAGTCCATTAAAACACTTCATCTAGCCCCTTTAATCCCTCTTAACAGATTTGCTTTATCACAGGCAGAGGAGCTAATCCTCTCCCACCTGTCTCTATGATATGGAACCATAAACAAGAGCAAGTCCTTTTCATTTGTTAAGCATTATCCCCCCTTGGATAACACTATCACCCACACCAGCATTAGTGTAATGAAGCTGTCTTTAGAGAAACACCCCAACCCTGAGCTCAGATTCTCACCCTAGCCATGGATTCCTCCAGCAGGAAATGTGGAAACATTATTTACCAACTGGTTTTATTGGTAAATTATTATTTCCAAAACTCATCTCTTACCATGAGTTTCAAGACACTAAGCAAAGCAAGACTTGAATTCCGACTCACTGAAGGGACTTGCGTTTTTCCTTCAGCCCAGACCTTATGTGACACATCTGAGGCCTCTGCTGTGTATGACCAGATGGCAGCCTTGGCCAAATCCATCACCAACCCTTACAATTAGGTTAGTAGGTCAGCTGAACTTATCACCTAATTACACCATTATTTATACAGAGTTCTCTTTATTTTTCAGAACAAGATCTCAACACTATCAGAAAACAGTCAAGAAGTAATTTTTATGACCTGCATTGTAACAGTGACAGTCTGACACTCTGCAGACCTGTTGGAGTAACCTTGAACCACCTACTGGCAAATTTTGGGCTGGAGGACCGAAATTTGAACTTCAGCCTCCTAATTGCCAGAAATCCCATTGGCCCTCAGCACACCCCCTTACAACAGAACACAGCACCCTTGGAAGGCCATTCCAGTTGCTATATTGTGGAAAGTAGAATAGGCTACAATGACTGACCACTCAGGGCATATTTAAAGTAACTTTTGTCTCTTCAAGCTGTGGAGAGTTACTTCATCCGTCAGCTTGCTCAATTCTTTTTCCACTAGAAAGACATTCATGTGCTCTCATGCAACCCCGCATGGTTCTACACAACAAAATTAACCTGCCTGAATGAATTCCCAGTCATTTCCATAACATAAGGCAACAACCAGAGGACCTGAAAGTGAACTCAAATACACATGTATATTAAGTACAAATGATATATCAACTAACACAAGAAAAAAAGCCCTCATTATTCTCATTGTTTTAACACTGCCCTGTCTAGGTAACACCTGGCAATTAGAAAACCATTTAAGACATTCAAGGAACTGTTATTTTCTCATTTCTGTGTAGGTCAAGCCAAATTTTCCTCCGAAGGAACTGCAACCTGAGGTTATTCCCAAAGTCTAGTTGTAAAAGGGAGCATTAGTGGGACTAACTATAGCCTAGGTTTTGTTGATTTTTTAACAAAGAAATCCAGAACAATGCTGTGACATAGCTTGTGATGGAAGATAACAATTAAAAGATGAAGTACATGTGGGCCCTTTGGGTTTTCTTCCGCTAGGAACCAAACCAAACCCCCAGATAAGTCACCTGGCTGAAAAAAAAGAGACAGAGAGATGCAGCGTAACATTTTTCTTGAAGAGGCACAACTAACACCCTTCGAGCAAACTTACTCAACACAGAGCTGGACCCCATCCAGCTATGAAGAGGCAGTTGGCTGGGTGTTTTTGGGTGTCAGTACAGTTACAAATGGACAGATCTGACCAGCGGCGACTGCAGGACAAGGACTTCATTGTCTCACAAGGCCTGTTTGCAGCTGTCGCTGTTACAGATGCATCGGCGATGGCAAAGTAGTGCAAAGCAAGTTGCCTGCTCCTCAGAAACGTTCTTCTCTTGGCTTTGCTTCATCTCAGGAAGAGTAAATCTTGGAAAGCAGAATTCCTATACGTCCACCACTGCCCCACAAGCCTCCCAGCCCAACACATTTGTCACAGGGAGGCCGGGAGAGCAGCAGCACCAAATGCACACTGCAAAGCAAGGGCTTTCCTAGATGTAGCCATGTGATCATTTCACATCATACCTCCCAGAGGTCATCTGTGCCATTTGATAAAAATGCAGCTTTTCAGTCAGCTCTTTTCCATGACATTGAATCAGCTTTGACAGAATTAACTAAAAAAGATGAGCTTATTTAAATCATCAGCATGCTGGGAGTCAGGATAGCTTGAATATGGCAATTCAAAGCATCAGGACTCAAAAAAGCAAGATATGGCACATTTGTCAAGTCATTACTGTGTTCTAAAGTGGAGTTTCTCTAGAACCACTTACTCTGAACACCATGTGAAATTACATCCATTTAATAAAATTTTAAGTTCAGGAGAACTGCAATGTAACCTTGACCCACATAAGGAGAAGAATGAGGTCTCCCCATTCACTCCTAATGAAAAGCTTTTTCTGTTGAATGTGTGTTAAATGGCCACAAGTAGCTGTGACACTTAGGTCACCCTTAAGAGCCTTTAATTTGAAGACAGAAGATAGTTTCAGTTGACATTGGAAAACGTATGGGAAAAGAACCAAATAAGCCATAGACATAGGCCCAAACACACACATTCCCAAATTTCAAAGCTAGCAAAACTGCAGCAACACAACCACTATTTTTATCCTGCCTCTTGCATTTTATTTGGATTTGAGCTTGGGAGGTTAATTTCTTCAGTTGCTGCACAATTTAACCAGCCAGGAAGTTTTATGTAGGAAAACTTAAAATGGCTTTACATGTTAATGTGATATTCCTTAAGGAAAAAAAACCAAACAAACAAACCAACCAAGTTGGAAGTTGTGGTTTCCTCCTCCACAACTGTATTTTTCCAAATGCTTTGATAAATAAATAGAGCCTCCACTTTCTGGCACTGTTAAGCACAACATATATTCAATTGTATTAAATATCCCATAGCAAAAAACTTATTTGATATATAGTTAGTGAACTTAAAATTAGGTAAACTAAACTAGAGCACAGACTAGTGGTTTTGAAGTATCAATAGGAGGTTATTTGCCACCTGACAGACCTCAAGGAGAAACTCCACACATAGCTCACAACCTGTCGTTGTAACAAAAGAACTCAAGAGCCATTTTCATTAATTAATATATTTTCTGCATTATAGTTAACATATGTACTTTCTTCGTGTCATCCTTATTTCGTTAAGTATTGATATTTTGTTATATTCAGACATGAGTACATTTTCAAAGTCTTTTGCAATAAATATCATAAAATAATAGAGATTCACATAATAAATATTCTTTACAATAAAAAAAGTTTTAACAGACTTTTGTCTTAAAAATAGTTGGGATTCAACTTTGTGTTTTATACATAAAATATACAAAAAAGGACCACAATTTGTGGCTAAGGCAATAAAACAGGGACAGAATAAAATTATAAAGTACAGAGCAGAGCTAAACTCACTAAACCAAAAGGATCACAAGAAACTTGAAGGATTCAAGAACATTTAGGTGACTCAATGACACCTGAAGGCTGTTTGGATATATGAACACCACCAACTTTAATATCAACTGATACTGACAGACTATAAGAACGGGATTAGGAGGGTGGAGCGAGCAATATCCTTCAAAGATTGGACAGCAAAAGAAACAAATGAGTGTGTTGCAGCCACAATGTCTCCAATGTGAAGATCTACACGGTGTAGCAAAAACTGAAGTTACATTGAAAATGTAAAAAAAAAAAAAAAAAAAAGCAGGAGGCAGGGTAATTCTCAGGTGTGAGAATGTTCCGAAAGTTAAGACAAAAAGAGAGGGTGAGAAAAAAAAAAGATGTAAAAAGAAGCAGGCTGCTTATAGAAGAGTCAGACCTTTCATTTGGTGAAGCCTTTATTTTACATCCCTCTCCAGAAAGAACACACACAAAAAATTATTTCACAATCCAGCTCACTCAGGAAAGATTGGCTTCCTTGGCTACCGGAAGGTTAAGGAAAAAAACCCCATAAATTGCTGAGAAGGAAAAACATCTTTGGGAAGAGATATTCACAGAGCAAGAAGCTTCAAGAGCCCAGTGAGCCCTCACTGTCTCTCTCAGGAGTGGTTCAGTTACAAACTCAAAGACCCTGCCCAAGTGAGCGACAGGTGCAGATACCAGGTCCACACTTACCAAAGAGCAGCAACGACTACGTGAAATGCTCCACACTCAGCCAAGTCAATAGGAAGAGGAGAGCAAAGATGCAAAGGGAAGAACTTGTGTATCTGAAGCTGGGGAGACAGAAAGGAAAGGAAAAGAACAGTCCTCCCAAAACGGGAGAGGAAGGGGAAGAAGGAAAGGAAAAAAAAAAAATCAGCTACAACCTGAAAAACTGAAGTTGGAGGAAGTAAACCTCCCTCCCAAAATCATGAGGGCTTGCCCTGACCCCGGGAGGGGCAGCTCTCCAGTTTACAATAGACAGTGTTGGAGTTCTTGCACCGGCAACCCGGACGATTGACGCGGTCGTAGCACCCTCGGCAGAGTTTTAGGCATCCTTTGGCCGGAGGGTAGCAGAGCAAGCAAGGCAGGAACAAGGACATGGCTCCCATGCACAGGTACCTAGAACAGCAGTGTGACTGGGAGCAGGAGCAGGGATTATCCGCGTAAGAGTCCCCTTCATCGTCGTTGGAACAGTGGTAGAAGATCCCTTTGACCAGGCACATGCAGGTGCCGTACTCCACCATGCTCTCGGCCGAGCACAGGCACTGCCGGTTGCAGGCCAGGCAGGACGGCAGCGCCCTCGGCGCCGTGCACTCCCCGCACTTGCACTTCCCACACTGTTCGCAGATGAACTTGTGCTGCGTCAAGTCCTCTTTCAAAGGACCCTTCAGATCATCCACGATCAGAGACGACTGCTTGGGCTGCGCCCGGATTGTCCGATCGGATCTGTGGCCGGAGCCCGGCCGGGACGGGGGTGACCGCCCCAGCAGCCCTTGCTCCGAGGAGGCGCTGCTGTTGCTCCCAGAGCTGGCCGCGCTCCCTGTGCTGGTCGACCGGCTCAGGACGGGAGCCCTCGTGTTATGCTGATGTGCCACGTGCCCCACATGGCTGGACCTGTGTTCGTAATTATTATTCACATTAATTGGTATAATCTCGTGAGTCCTTTCATGCTTCTCCTGCCTCGGTGCTGTCCGCGGAGCAGACTTTTTCACCACAGAAGGACCTTCGGTGTATTCGTTGCTGCCCCTGATGGCCTTGATCTGGTCCAGTGACAAGATCGTCGTGGGCTGGCTCTCCCTTTCATAGTCCAAACGCTGCCGGCTGTCCAAGGAGGGCTGCTGAATCACCACCATGGAACCGCCGCTGCCATGCTGACCTTGGGGCTCCATCTGGAGTGATCTCTACTGCTGGCATTCAGCGGGAACCTGGCATGCATCTGAAACCCTAAAGTAAGAAGAAGACAGAAGGTGTAAATAAACACTGCGTGTGTACATGTACACACACATACACAAGATCAAGGGCAGAAGAGGGATAAAGCACGAGAGACTTTCTGAAAACAGAAATGATCTGGCAAAGCCCAAATTGCCCGAGCCACCTGGTACTGGTCTCTTTCAGCAGGGGATTACAGCAACGCTGAGGATCTGGCCAAAGTCCAGTAGTGGGGAGAGTATGGATATGGCATCATAGATGAGGAATGCAAAGGAGACCCCATGCCATTTAAAAAAAAACAGTATTAGCTGGTATGCTTGCTTGGCAAGCCATAGGAAGTGCTTCTCCCTTGCCACTGAACTCAACATCTGCCTAACTAGCAATAGCAATTCCGAATGCCCCTAAAACTGAGTTGGAAACAGGCAAGAACACCATCATGTTCGTGTTCCACATGGCAGAGCAAGGAACATGACCAGTTCTCTTCTCTCTGAATCTGCAGCATCAGAAAGCTCAACAAATTCGCTTCCTAGTGCATTTGGAAAGTCTCCTTCTTAAAGTGACGTATGTGCATTACAGAGTCCTGAACTAAGTGCTGTCAAGTGGCCAAGACATTTTCTATGAGAAAGTAACTCAGCCTACAGATCTAACAGGCTCCTTATAAAATTAAAGCAAGGGTGCAAACAACCTGTTTTCAAGTATTTCCTGACCACAGCCCAAGGTGTGAAAGAAAAATGGGGTAGAAAAGGCTAAGATGAACTAAGTGTCAGACAAAAAGTACCTGAGGATTCATAAGAATGTTAAGAGCAGATTAAAAAACCCCAACAACAACCTCAAAACACAAACAAAGAACAAATCCATTTTCACCAGACAGATTAAAAGCTTCTCAAATAAATAGAACATCTTCTAGTCTTTTAAATAGTGGAAGAATAGTAAAACTGTCACATATTTCCATCCATTTTCATCCTGCCTAGCTGGCAACATGAAGATTGCAATGCTCACTCAGAAAACTGCAGTGACAGTTCTGGACCTATATAGAAGTTTAGCTGAGTATTTAAATGCCACACTTACACAGGGAACCAAGGAAAAAAACCTGATTTTCTTTACTGTCAGCCAGAGGAAAAGTCCCTTTTCACCTTTTCACTCCCCTCCAAGATGTCATACCTGTTTACCTGAAAGCAGGGAAGGCTAAGTGCTATCAAGCATTTCCAAAATTCATCCAATAATCCTAAGAAAGTGTCTTATCTACCCCGAACACAACCAGCACAGAGCTGTTCCCACTCCACAGAGAAAAGAGCACTGTGCTGTGGAAGAACAGAGACGACAAGAACAGAAAACCTTCTTCTAACACAGTCAGCATGAACAGTGAGCGACAGCTTCTGCCAGGACACTAAGTCTTTCTGCTCACCCAGCAGTCAAAGACTTCATTTTACATCTAGCATCACCTGTGTGGGCTTTAGGGCCACCAGATCAAAAAGAAAACCAAACACACTCACTTCTAATTCATAAAATACAATCTCAGAATGGTTTGGGTTGGAAGGGACCTTAAAGACCATCCAATCAGTTCCAACCTCCCCAGTCATGGGCAGGGACACCTTCCACTAGAGCAGGTTGCTCAGAGCCCCATCCAACCTGGCCTTGGACACTTCCAGGGATGGGGCAGCCACAGCTTCTCTTGGAAACCTGTGCCAGGGCCTCAACACCCTCACAGAAAAGAATTTCCTCCTACCCCACACAACAAGCCGCCTTCTTCACGAGCACTGAATACAAATCCACAACGGACCAAGGGTGAATGAATGCGAAAAGGGAAAGATTTACAGCTGTACCAGCCAGGAGCTGGGCTCCCCAGGGGATGAAAAACAATATCCCAAGAAAATGCGAAAGACATCCAGTGCCATCTTTGGGGGGAAAGCGCAACATCAACGCGGCGCAGACTGACAAGCCCAGCTGCAGATCGGGGCGAGAGCTGAACCAGGCACCTCCACCCCCGCGCAGATCGGTCGTAAACTGGTTCCCCCCGGACAATAAAATAAAAATAAGCAAAATAAAATAATAAAACAACGTACGGTGCAGGCGGCGAGAGCCCTCACGGTTCTGCACCCGGGGCTGCGCTCCCTCCCCGCACACCTCGGGGGGTGGGATCCCCCTCCCCTTCCCCGCACCCGCTCGGACGCGCCGCCAGCCCCCCCGTCCCGTCCCGTCCTGTCCCGCCCCGCTCCCGCAGCCCCGGGCGGGCGGCGGCGCGGCGCCCTCTGCGCCCCGAGCGGAGCGGAGCGGATCGCGGCGCTGACGGAGAGGAAGGAAGAGGAGGGGAAAGGGGAAAAAAAAAAAAAGTTATGAATGAAAACATGGGCTTTTTTTTTTTATTTATTTTTCTTTCCCTCCTTCTCTCCTTTCCGCAGGGGAGGGCAGAGCCCAGCCCGGCGCTGCCTCGGGAGGGCGGAATACCCGGCGCTTAAAGCGGCAGCGCCGGGGGGAGCGGCCGCTCAGCCCCGGGGGTTCCCCGCGCCGCGGTCCGGCACCCTCCGCCCCAGCCCCTCCGCCCCCCGCCTGCCAGCAGCGTTTGGCGGGTGTTTTTGACCTCCTGCTCGTTCCCAGCCCACTGCGGTCCCCCGCGAGCCCTCCCGCGGGATCCCGGTCCCTATATTTCGGGAGGGGGCCGGTGGGAGGGGGGCCGGGGCCGCCCCTCGCCAGGCGGGCGCCTCTGCGCCCCGCGGCACCTGCTCGCCGCGGCAGCGCCGGCCCCGCTGCGAGCGCTCGGCGGGTCCCCAACTTACTGATATATCTGCGGGGAGTCACCGGGAACGGCAAATCCAGCGGGCGGGGGGCGGCGGGGCCGCGGCCCCGGCTCCTCGCCCTCCCGGCCCCGCGGGGCGGGGAAGGCCGGCGGGCTGCGCTCCTCGTCCCCGCACAGCCCTGGCTCGCCGATCTCCACGTCCTAGTGGGCCAGCGGAGGGAAGCCCCGCTGTGCTGCCCGGCGCAGCCCCCCTCTCCCGGGGGTCAGCATCAGCCGCCCGCCCCGGGCTCGCTCCTCCGCGGGGCGCCCAGGGGAGCAGCGCTCTCCTTCCGCAGCGGGGCTCTCGGTCCGGAGGCGACGGGCAGCAAATCCAGCCCTTCCTGCAGAGCGGTGTGTCTGGATCGAGCCTCAGGCAGCGGCAGGCTGCGGCAGGCAGCGGGGCTGTTGCGATGCAGGTCTCTGGGAAGAGGCGGCGGGTGCGCGGCTCCTGCTCGGGCTGTTTGTTCTCCTCGGCCCGTGAGTGCAGGGCTGCGGTCCCGCTCCGGCGCTCGGCTTCACCGCATGGTCCTCGCCGCAAGTCCCGTCTGGCAAAGTGCAACCACAACCCCTGGTGCGAGAAATTTTGGTTGGGGTTTTTCGTTTCAGTTTTTTGCCCCTTTTTTTTTTTTTTTTGGTTTTCTTTCTAAACCAACCACGAAGCTGCTCTCGCTCTCCAGAGCAAGCTGCGAAGGAAGCCAGCGGCAGCGCGCAATGGCCCTGCGAGCTCCCTGCACGCAGCCATGTGCTGGCTGTCGCTGCCGGGGGCCGGGTGACAGGCTCGGGGCACGGGCAGGACGCGGTGGCCACGCACACCGCAGCCCGGCACCGGGGGCTCCGCAGGCTCCTCGCTATCCCGAGAGGCTCACGCCAGAGAGACCCCCGTCAGGTCGGGCGGGACAGGCAAAGCACCGACCCGGAGGTTCTACGCGACCAGCGAATCGCGACCAGCTCGGAGCTGCTCGCCCGGGGAGCCGACCCCCGGCTCTCCCGCCCGCTGCCCCGCAGCGGAGCTCAGCTCTCCCGCACCTCCCGCACGCCTCGCCCGGCGGCCGCCCCCAGCCCAGCCGAGCGCAGCCCGGGCTTCGGGGAGCCCCCGCCGCCCGCCCGCACCTGACCCGGCGGGACGGGCTGTGCGAGCGCCGCCCGGGCTTACCTAGGGCCGGGGTGAGCGCCCGCCTCCCGCGGCACATTGGTGGCGCGGATGCCGCCGGGGCAGTGCCGGGGCCGCTCCGCGCTGCCCCGCCGCCGTGCCGGAGTGAGCCGGGCCGCGCCCCGCCGCTTTCAGCGCGCAGCCCCCGCCCGCCGCCGGCCGCGCCCCCCTGATGTCAGCGTGTCACCGAAATCCCGGCGTGGATTCCCCGCCCTCCCGCCGGGAGCCGCTCCCGCGCGGGTCACCGCCGCTCTCCGCGCCGGGACGGGGGCGGGAGGGAGAACCGGCCCCTCTGCGGGCCCCGCCCCGCGTTGTCCCGGCCCCCGGGGCCCGGCCGGCAGAGGGAGCGCCCCGGGGGCTCGTCCCGGCGCTGCCCGGCCCCGCACACGCTCCCGCAGCCGCCCCCGTGCGCCGGCCGGGCGGGCACAGCCGCGCTGCCGCCGGGGCACCGCCGCGCAGAGGCTCTGCCGAGGGGCTGAAGTCCTGCCACGCTCCCCTGACAGCCCTGCAGAGAGATTCTGGTCTGTCTCTTACCGTCAGCGCCTTCCCAGCGGGGTCTGGCCAGGTGGAACAGCCACGCGTTTATTTATATTCGCAAGATATCTTCTGCTTCTTTCAGCCCGTTACAGAGGCAGCTGAGCACCTCGGAAAGCACTCGCTCCTGTCATCCTTCCATGAGATAGGAAACGGCTCTTCCCACCGCGTTACAGCTGGCGCTGAAGCACCGAGGCATGACACGGGTTATTTACCCGGTTGTCTTTCTCTCCCGCCTTTCCAGCCCAGCCTCAGCAAGGTCCCATTCAAAGCTCACCACTGCATCCCTGCCATGGTGCTGAAGAGGTACAGGGATGCCTCCAAGCCGTTAGTTTAATGGCCAAATACTCTCTTTGATTTTTTTTTTTTTTGAGTGGAGAATTTTAAAAGGCAACTAAAAGAACATGGGAAAATGATGTAAAGGACATCAAACTTCTGAGAATTATTTCATAACAACATGCAGAAGTTGAGACTTCTCGTGCTTGGCTGGACATCACCGCAGCCCCAAGTTTATCTGAAACATTCTAACTGGCTTTTTACAGCGTCTTTCACACAAATCATATTCTCCCACCTTTTGCCTCAAAGAAAAGAATATACATGGAGTTGCTTGGCAGGAAAATTCATCCAAAAGCAAACAATCCCTACAAACAAGAACAAACTAGTACAGAGGTGGCACTCAGTGACAGTCTGTCCACCCAGCTCACACTCATGGACGTAGCACAATTGTGTTTCATTAAACTTCACTGGGCTTGGAAAGAAAACACCGAAACTGAAATTTTGAAAATTTCATCATTATACAAAAATTTTACCTCGACCACATATTTCTCTAGGAAATAAAATCTTTGTGCATTAAAGGTTCTATACTGAATACTAAAATACTAATATTAGTAATAAAATGACTTCTAATACTTGTGAGTTTGTAATTAACAGTTTGCTGATATAGACAAACCACAAATACCATCTGCCAATTACAGAGGCTCAAGGGCAAAAAATGGCATACAAATCTTTGGCATGGAATAAAAATACCCCAATTCAGCATTAATGTTGCTGGGGGGTTTAGAAAATGTGGTTGCTCACCAAAAGCATTCTCAGGTACACCTCGAGCACAAACTACATAACCATTTTCAGTGAACTCCATCTGAAAAGTTTGGAACTTTAACAAAAAAAAAATAAATCCAACTGAAGACCCAAAATTACTAAGAAAATGAAAAAAACCTACTCCTTCAGAGTTAGTCCTTAGTGTTGCGAGTCCATCTTGGAGCCTTTGGGGGTAGCAGGGCTCTGTTCCACCACTGAAAATACATTTAGCAATTGTCTTTGTTCTCACAGAAGTCCATATGCACTTTTCCTAGGATACTACTGTGAAAACACCTCAGCACCTTTCTTTTCACATCTCTAAACTAATACCACCTTAAAAACCCTATGCCAAGTGTAAGAGGTTGGTTTTAGAAACACAATACTGGGCTTAAATGGGTCAGTAAAATCAGCAAGAATACTGACAGCTGTTTACTATCACCTGGCACCCGAATTAATACTTCACTGAAGGAAGGGAAAACCCTCCCGTGGATTCAGAAGGCTCTCCACAGACTCAAGCAAATGTGCCTGCACCTCACACAAGCCATCTCGTTAGATTTTTCCTGGAAATTATGGCAGCCAGAAGTTTGGGTTAGAAAAAGGAGAGCTACATTCTGGAGAATAAACTGGCACTTTGGAAGAGGGCTGACACACCTTTATGACTACATCCTGGCACAGCCTGAACTCGAGGAGTGACACACAGACAGGAATCCGATGCAACCAAGTTATTTTCCATCTCCAAACTGCCATCTAAAGGTGCCTGTCTCCTGCTCTGACAACAAGTCCAGAGACCAGCCCTCTATGCCCGAAGTTAATCCTTCTAAAAAACCTCCCAGAACGGAGTTCAAGAGACTGAATGATGGCTGAGAGCCGTGATTCAATTCCCATTTCCGCTTTCACTTTGAGGATCACGGACTGGAGATAATCTCCACCCTCTGCAGGCAGATGCTATTTCTCCCTCGTGCAAGCTTCAGCCTGCCAAAAGGCACATTGGGCAGAATAAAAGCAGAGTCCACCTTCAGGTTTTTGGTTGCTTTTCTTCCTAGTCCACCCCTGGAAGCAACTTTTATTTCTAGGTCACTTGACTGACCTTTATAGGTAGTGAACTACACCTTTGTAAAGATGAATCGGATAAACTGTGATCCTCCCACTATCAGTAATGAGAAACTGCCTCCCACCTGGGAATACCATTATAAATTGCCCTAAGCAGTATCTCTTAGCCCTTGCTAAGGCACAGATCCCAGTCCAGAAGGAGGACATGCACTCACTCCCGGTCACAAAGCCAATATGGCTTTGAGGAAACTCAGCAGATAATGCGTTTCCCTTTATGCAAGTTACTTATCAGTTAGTAACCAATCTCCACAGATGCATCAACACTTCTAAAGTTAAGAGGAATTCAAAAGCAATTAAAAAACCCCACACACATTAGCATTTATAATGAAATTACAAACAGAATTGTTGTGCCAGCCTTACCTGTAGCATGTGTAAGTCAGGTATTCCCCCCACCGGCCATGCAGCGATGATCTTGCAGAGGTGGCTGTCAGGAGAAACAACTGGAACCTGCAGCTCCCCAGAGCTTTGAGGTTGCACTAGATGGAACTTTGTAGGTGTTAATGCTCGAAGAGCCTCAGAAACTCTCGGTGCAAGGAACTAGTACGTGCTTGTTGGTGCAACACCAGCATAACTGACTTTTTAACACACTAGTAGGCCTATAAATACTACAAGACAAGTGGAAACAGCCTCAAGTTGCACCAGTGAAGGTTTAGATTGGAAATTATGAAAAATTTCTTCACCAAAAGCACTGGAACAGGCTGCCCAGGGAGGTGATTGAGTCACCAACCCTGGAGGGATTTAAAAGGTGTGCAAACGTGGTACTTAGGGACGTGGTTTAGTGGTGATTTGGCAGTGCTGGTTTGATGGCTGGACTCAATGATCTTAAAGGTCTTTTCCAACCTAATTGATTCTATGATTAAGAAAACCCCAGCAAACCAACAAAATCAAATCCTACAGTAGTTATGAGACACTACTCTAATCATAAGCACTGTGGACAGTTTCTTAGCAGCTCACAGAAAATCCTGGCAGTCCTGGCTTAAGCTGGGGCATGAGATGAATAAAGGTATTCCCGAGAGCCAAAGAAGTAAAAACCATGGGTGCTGTGGTGAAGGACTACCCTGACAGGTACAGTGAATCACTTCAGGGTAAGGAAGAGAAAGTGAAGGCTGATGTGGTAGCGTTTCCGATCACACTTTCTGCCAGACAGGTTGACCTTTATCTGAGATCAAAGGCACTGGTAGCTGGGGATTTCTTCAGCTTCTGTGCAGGGACTGCTCTCAAAGCTCTCTGAAGAAGCGCAGCCCATGCGCCGCTACCCCTTGGCGTCACTGCGCAGGCTGGGGAAGGGCACACAGGAAACCCTCAGTTACAAATAGAACCCGGGGTTTTCACTTCAAAAGATAACATCAGTTTTTCTTAGGGGCAGAAGAGACAGTAACAGGCAGCAGCCAGGCAAACCTGAGAACAAAGGGACGAACCTCAGCGTGAACCTGCTTCATGAGCACTCGGAAGGTGGAATCAAAGCACAGGGGAAACGCTGCAGAGCGAGGTCTGTGCCCAAATTCAGCACAAATTATACAGAAAGAAAATGCCAGGGTCTGTACAATAGGTTGAGAGTTTGAGAACATGCTTTCCCTTCCCCATCTTTTGCACCATGTCAGAGAAACCAGTGTTTTCCTTGGGTAATGAGAGGCAAAGCTTCATTCTCCTAAGTGCAGGCCACGGCCTGTGTCTCTTCATTTTTCACTATTCACTTGCCATAAAGGCAACGGGTACCTTTACCTCTCTCCTTCAGGTATCCATAGTTATCTGTTTTCTGAACAAGTTTAATTCTTCCTTGGAGAATTGCCTCTGTAGCCTTCATGTTTAGCTGCTACACTAATTGTCTGCGCTTCCACAAGACGCTCTGATAAGGTACTGATCATGTCTTCATTACTTTGTATTCATTGTTAACTATTTAACTAATATTACTTCATCTGCCTGCATTAAAAAAAACTGTGAAAAAAGGAAAATTGTCATTATTGCTTAATAACAAAAATAACTAATTCACATCTATTGTAAATTATGCTACCTGCAACTCATTGTTTCCTGCCTTAGCACTCAGCAAACTGCCTTTTACTACCCACTGAGACACGAGTCCTTGCACAGAAACGAACCTTTCCCATTGCTGTTGGAGAAGTGGCCGCTCCCCAGGTGTGGGCTGCTTTATTGGAGGAAGAGGTAAAGCTCTCTGCTAATTTAAATACATGGCTCTGTGTGTGATTTTTATTATCCAACCACTTGTGGTGACTCGGGTGTTAGCACAGCTCCAGGAATGCCTCCTGTTTATCAGGTTGTGCAATCCGTCACTGTCAGCTGAAGGAGGTCTCAGCAGCAGCGTTTCTAATTTGATTTGAAAATATACATGGAAACCTGAGACTGCTTTTAGCAAGAGTGATGGGGTTGGCCTAATGAACACAATCTCTCGTCGTTCTCAAGAACGGTGTGTCAACAACCAAAGTTTAGGTTCCCTCCACAGCCGTAGCAGCTTCTGTGGAGAAGCAGTAACTTAACATCTATGTCACGTTCTTGGTTCTGCTTTACCAGTCAAAAGGCATTTCAGTGAGATTTTAACAGACCACCTTGGATTCCCTGGAATGCAAACAGGGAGGAAGCTTTTCCACGGATCTCATGATGAGAAGTTTGCACCAAGCGTTTTTTTTTCACAGAAACTTCTTCCCCTGAGCCTTCACAGGGGTGTACGATACCAAATGATGCTATAAAAGCGTGTGCCTAGAGAGCCAGTTCTCAAACAGCTTGGGTGTTGTCATTGCTTTTGGATCAGAAATTGGCTACAGGAAAAGGAACATGCAACAGGAGCAGCATGGATTTCTGGCTGCAGCATCATCCACTCCAATACATAAATATTTATAGATTTTCACTTCTCACGGGAAAAAACAAACAAACCAACCTCACACCTTTGCTTTACTCTTTTATGGTGGAAAAGACATGGAAAATCTCTCACCACAACTCTACAAGAGTACAGTGACCTCACTGGTATTTTATTGCATCCTATTGTGAGAATGATAAAATATAATTTGCTATTCACCTGTATTTTTTTCTTCCTTTTCTCTTTTTCTCTGTCTTACTTCTCTGAGAGATTCTGTTTTGCGTTTGGCAATTCAAGTGTCAAGTGCCCCTTGCATGTTTGATGTGGTCTGTTGTACTCCAGGAGAGCTTGCTAGTCACATCTTGAAACTGTGCTCTATAATAACAAAAACGACCTGCCAAGGAATATTCAGTGTCAAGGGCGGGATTCTGCTCCTAGGGAAATCAAAGTTATTACCGGTTTCCTTTGGGATTGATGAAGTCAGGAGACTTCATTTTGGAGAAAGTATAAAAAATATCATCCCTTAAGAGCTTTTGGGTTGAAAAGGCCAGATTTCTCCCACCAAAAAGAACTGGGAGAACCCTTGACAACGAAGAACATAAAACACACATGCCCGTGCACATGCTGTCACGCTGCTGATGTAAACCCCCTCATTTCCATCGGGGTGGGAGACAGGCTGTAGCTGTGCTGCTCCAATTCCACACAAGCCATAGGGAACGCTCGCACTGCCTCTCCTGCTGGCTCTCACCCAGGAGGACGTGTACAGACACACACTTAACACGGGGAGGTTATGACACCAAAAGCTCTGTGTGTGTGTGTTGGGGAGGGGGGTGGCCCCTCTCTTCCATTCCCTCAGTAACCCTCTATTTTGAAACCACTCCTGTGATTCTTGTCTCTTTCTGCGACCAATTAAACATTGTTCCTGAGAAGCCAAAAAGAACTGTGAAGTATAAAGGCCACACCTACTACTGAAACGTACCCTGCTTAAAGTACCTCAAAGCCTGATCAGCATCCTGTATGTATTGCTTCCCAAGGTCAGCAGTTTTGAAAATCTATGCAGAAAATGGAATTTCCCCCTAAAGTAACCCACTAACCTTCCAAAACACTGCAATGATGCTACTGCAAGGTGACAG